GGGCCAACAGGAACGCATCTATACGACAACAAAACAGTTCAGATCCTGGTGAGTAAAAACACGAGTGCTCTATTGACACTGGTTCCCACGAGCTTTTAATAAGAACATCCATCGTGGTGATAAACTGCTGCTTCATCCCCTCCAATCATCTACATCCTGTTTACTGTTAACCTGACTCATCACCAGATAACACACTTGTCCTTCTTTACCCCATTCAATTTAATTTCATTTAATTATCATTCTGATGACATATTGCCTTCCTTTCTGACCCCTGCCATGTTGTTTGCCAGCTGTAAGCCTCCTACTGACCAAGTACGGGCTGTTTTATCCCGACTGCTTTTGTCTGCCAAGTCTCCTTTTGGATCAAAATCCATCGTTATATTGTTACCGCCATATACACAAAAATATGTAGACCCAACAACACAAGGCGGCAACATGTAGGTGTATACTTGTCTGACTATATTCCCTTTTCCAATATACATTGTATGTACCTAATACGACATTTTATACCTAGTTCCATGTTTCCAGCGTAGTCCAATCCTACAGGTTCACAACCACAAGCTCTTGTGTGGCAGTAATGCACTACTGTGTTTACTATTGCTCACTGTAGTGCTCTGTTTATGCTATTCTTTCATTAAGTACACAGTTTGTTGGCTTGAAGGTTGTACTAGACACTTCCATTACAACGAGGGGCCAAATAATCATAACATCCATTTGTCATGTCCTTTTAATGTGTAATTGTAATAATATTTTAATGTCTGTAACGGTAGATTATGTCCAATCCTGTATGATCTAAACGGAAAATTATGTTTTCTTTTATTCCAATAGCAGCTTTAGCAATAGACAAAAAACAGAGGATAATAAGTTCATATTAAAGTAAAAATAAATAACAACAAAGGACTTACTTTCAGAAGTTTGATTTTCTCACTACCTCCAAACAGAAAACATTGAACTCGCTACTTGTGTGTAAAAAAAGGTTTTGATTGTAGTTTGTCCGCCACCTCCACCTCCACACACACCGTTAATCTGCTCTGCTATGTGCACTATACAGACTTATTTAATCCCCTGCTTGCATACCGCTGGGTGTTTCCATTTACCATTTCTCCACAGCCACACTTGTTAAAAGTTTGGTCGGAGAAAACAGCATCTGTCGAGGTTTCTACATAACAGGCTTTAATGGCAAATTCGGCTCAAAGTTTTGTGTAATAACAGGAGGCCATTTCTGTATTTGGGGATAAAAGTGTGCTGTATAAGTGGTAATGTTATTTACATTAATTGTATTTTTGTCAGTTAAGCGCTTGAGAAAAATGGCCTATCTCAAATATCTAAATTGAGGGTGCTTCCTTAAAAAAAAAAAAGCAGATAATAAACCGCAACTACACATCACAGCAACATTTAAATATCGATATATGCAAAACTGATATCCACTAAAATGTACAATATAACACTGATAAACACAGACAGAAATACAGCAGGTCCTGAACTTGTTGCACTGCTGTAATGCAATCTAAATTGGAGCATGGCATCCGAGGACCGCGCTAGGGGGAGAGGCAGGGAGGAGAATAGAGAGACTGTGATGTGAAAGTCCTTATAAGGCTGCAGGCGAGGAAACTACCAGAGAGGAACTGATGTAAGAGCAGAAACCTTGAGTCACAACATGGCTTCCTTGGGAAACTGAAGCACTGCCAAGAGGAGTCCAGGAAACTCGGAGCTTCTCAATAATTATTGCTTTTGTGAAACGTCAAAGCTGTTACACTAAATAAATCACCAAAACGGTTCATGGAAAAAGGCTATTTTTGAAGGGACAGAATGAATTTTACTCCCTGACCCGGTTTGTTGTGGCTGTGACTATAAAATTGGAGGAACAACTTCCACTGGGAGCAGTTAGCTTTGGATCATTTGCTGAATCAGTGTCCTGCTTCCTTCTGCCAAACGTCGAGTCTACTGCAGTGTCTTACTAAAGGAAACGGCCCACTGAGTGTTGCAATAACAGGTCTAGGTTTTAGCAATTTCATCACCGATACGTTACTTTACTGGATCCATACATAGCTTCTCTTGGTGGTCCCTAGTTTACACGTTTAGTGTTGGAATACAAGCCTTGTTGTCTAGATATCCCACAATCCTGTACGTCATCATTTACGCCCTGTTTATTTTGAGAGGATCTCGCCGCTTCCTCTTGAACCATCTATGCCGTCCACTACTAGTTTCCTCTGTCCTAGCTCTTTATTATGTACAGGCGAAGGACTCTACAAACACAGCTGCAGTGTCCCTGTGCTAATGTGAGCTGATGGCGACTGCCAAACAGATTCTTCAGAGGTCTGTCAGGTCCCCAGCTGTTACTCCAGTAGCTGCTGCACACAACACAGGCTACTAGTGTTGTACAGAGTCTCTCTGCAGAGATCTGGCCCAAAGACAAGCACTAAGTGGAGGACTAAGAATACATATAGAGAGAACAGCAGCGAGAAACACTAACAATGCTAATTTCTATAAGTTTAAGTACAGTACAGGACGTCTGAAGGTCAGATACCGGATACCGACTGTATGTAATTCTAACCAATGTTTCACTTCTTTAAAATTGTTGTTGTCTTGGGCAAATAATTCTACTTTCAATTCAAAGCAGCATTAAATGTGCCAATGTTAATTGCCCCAGAAGCACAATGTGATAACATAAAATGGCCCTGTGAAGGCTGATGTGATAAGGGGAATTCCTTCCAGGAAGAGGAGGGTAGTGAACACTTTAAGTATGCACTTTAAATGCCAGGATGCTATGGCTTTTTTTTTTTTTTTTTCTTCAAGTTGACAGCTGGAAAAAAAATACAGAGGAAGTAAAAGCAGAAACAATGCGGCAGGAAGAAATCAGCCACAAACTCTGGTACCATTTGTACTTCTGCTTTAAATTTTTGGAAGTCCACAATACAGGTTTAATGCCACGTCAACGGTGATAAAATACACAATATAGTTTTTATAATAACGGGTAAATTATGAAAGGGTAGTGATGCACAAGATGATCCCATGATGCTCCATTGAGAATAAAAAAATATTAATATAGTGATATAATGAATTAAAGTGGCTACACTGTGCCATCTAAATGGCTTTGTACACAGCATCAGCTCCATCACATGGGTCACGCCTGTCTCTTTTTGTAGCATCACGTCCCTTTCATTGTCAGAGTGAGCACGTCGGCCTTACAGACTGTGAATAAGAAGGATGGCAGACAGATTTCCGGTTCTATAAGAACTTGCAAATTCAAAAAAAGCGTGACGCTGACTCAAAAGCCCAAACTCATGCTTTCACCAAACAGAGGAGATGGGTTGGACCCCACTTTCCCCTCAGTGTGCAGCTGACGAAGGCACAGAGAGAGCCGGGCTTTGCCTGATGCTGCTTGAAGAAAACAAAAGAGTCAAGTCTGAGTCAACCATCTCTTTGTTCACAGCTTCAAATCTGTGAAGCTCTGGGTGCTTCTTCATGTGATACCACAACATTTTGACATATTTCTCTTAACAGTGGCAATAAAGCACAATAGTTCATGGTGCCTGCCCCCTTTGTGCCACCTCCCCCGTTTTAAGTTTGCCTCCATTTGCTCCAGATTTTGGGCTGCACAGCTGGCCCTGAATGACAGTTGAAATCCCTCCTTGTTAGACGTGAGTGAAAGGGAGGCCTAGCTGGTTAGCTCGTGCAGGCCACACAGTCGATGAGAGCCCACAGCCTAAATGTGATTATCTTGAGTGTGGAGAGAAAGCTCACAGTACCGTAATAACGCCCAAATGAATGATCTGATTTAAGGCGCTAATTTTAATGAACAAACGGGCGGGCGCGCGCACGCGCACACATCTAACGGAAAGTACCCCCGAGTCTAACGGGACGTAAAGGGGGCTAAAACACCGCAATGTGTACCAGAGATGCATTTAGGGTTGATTTAAGGTTAATTTTAAGCACCAGTGTCAAAAAAATAAACCTAATTGTGAAGATATTATGGGGCGAGAGAGCGACAGACAAAATACCGTAACGTTAGTTTTTTTTCACATGATAACGTTAATGCGTGTTCATTCTTACCGTCTTCGGCATCTTTCCTTTCTTTTACGTCCGGCTCAGGTTTTATTGAGAAAAAAAAAAAAGTTATTAAATCAGACGACCGGTTAGCGAGACCAGCAGAAAACTTTTTCCCATCAGAACAAACGGCGCCAACCGAACGTCTCGAGGACACGAACGTTACTTCTCGCTTTGACCACGAAGAAGAACAAATTTTCAACCGAGTGGGTTTTTTTTTTTTCTTTGTTTCGCCTTAAAGTGAAATGGCTCGAGCTTGATTTCCTGCTAACGGTACCCCCGACTGCAAAGACCACACCCAGGCCGATGACAGTATAGCAGTCAGCCAGACAGAGAAAAGAGGGTTCAGGCCGGCAGACTCCGCCTGCTGCAGTCGCATCATCATGTGCTGACTCTCGGTCACAGCCCAAAATGTTCACCAACTCTCTCTCTCTCTCTCTCTCTCTCTCTCTCTCTCTCTCTCTCTCTCAGGCAGCAGACACTTTAACACAGATCCATATGTTACTGTTGTGACCCTCTAAATGTGGACTACATCACATAACCGTTAAAGCAGGCCCATTAAAGGTGCTGTCACTTTAAATCATTTTAAATACTCAAACAGAAGGGGGCCACGTTCAATTAAGGGTTTGTTCAGTCTGCCTGTAACCAACACAAACATGATAGATAATAATCATGAAATTCCTTTAATTGTTTTAGAGGAGGGAAGAAAACCTAAAATACAGGCTACTAAACAGATTTAACTATGAGAGAATAGTCTACTTAGTAGTTTTAAATCTCTTAAGCTTATATATTTCCAACCAATATATTTATTTTAATTTTAAACGGTGGTCTTATTTCTTAGGCTGCTCACATCCAGTAGACCACATGTAGCCTAGTGTTTGTACCACGAAGGTCTGACATAGATCACTTTTTCTCTTTCACTTTTGCTTATGAAGAAAGTGAATGTAATGAGCAGTACTAAGCCCTTAATGGAGGTCATGTAGAGACACTGCAGCTATGCTTCCCCTGCATCCAGATAAAGAGGGGTTGAATCAATACTGACACTCACTTCAGCATATTTTTTGTAACGTTAATTACAGGAGGCAGACACAATAGTGCATGGAATACAACTGACACTTTGAGGTAACTTCACAGTTGCACTTCTGCAAAGTTTGGTTTATGAGGTTAAATTAATGTCATAAAAGATATCCCTTCTGTAATTTGAAACAGAGAGAGAGAGAGACAACCAACAGAGCTCTAAAGACAATGTAAATGACGACCAACGAGTTTTGTCACACGTCCACAGTGGGAGCATATTATTCCTAAGTGTTCAGCTTGTGTGGTCAGATTTGAAGAAGAAATAATAATGTATTTGTGTAACACAATAGCCTTTTGTCATGAGAGCTTAGATTGTTTTGTTGTGCTCCCCGTGTAACATGTGGCTGTCTGTTTAGGACCAAAATAATGTAATGTGGTGGAGACAATCACGTTACCACTTGTGTCGTAGTGACAGAGAAAAAAAGTTGTTTTTGTGGTTATGAAACTGTTTCCATGACCTCTGATGTCCTGTAGAGGGATTCCTGGGTGCCTTCAGGAGAGAAATGTTGTCTTCAAAGAGCGACCCCGATCACTGAAACTAATCTTTTGCTTTGTCAGAGGTTCAACTTGGTCACAAAATGTTCCCTCAGCAGACGGCTTTATTGGACCCACAGAGCATGCTGACTCATCATACCACACCATTTTCCCTCAGTAAACCAAAATATGTCTTCTTTGTACCACTAAAAAGTGAGAGTGTAATGCTGAACGTACACTTGTGCATCGTGTGGACGTAGAATAAAAAAAAAAAAAAACATAATTTAAGGTTTAAGGACAAAGCACAACAATGACTCCATGAAGGAATCCCAGGAGACTGGAGCTGGTGCTTTAATGATCCCACAGAGACGTCAATGCGTTTGCATGTTGACTCATCTTACACTCCCAGGGCAGGATGACCTTCCACATTCTGTGCTCAGTGAGCTGCTCACTGCAGCCCAATCAAAGGGAAGATGGTGTGTAGTTCCCAAAAAAAAAAGAAATCAAGGTTGATACTGACCAGACGTTTTCTGTGTGTGTCATAAGGCCTCAGCTGGCCAGAGAGGACAGACCCGTACAAACCTCTTCGGTCATTATCACTGCGTGGGTTGCACGCAGTCTGTACGATCTGCCGTATACTCACCAGAAGTCAGCCAGGGACTAAAGGTCTCTGCAGCTTTTATTGCATTAGTTCAACGGGCTGATTTTAGGGTCTGTTTGTGAAAGGAATCAATGTAAAATCACAAAAGTCTGTTTCCGTGAATGTGTGCGTCTCAAAGCCCTGAGCCATTACACCCTTTCACCACCAGATAGTGTGCATGTGCTGTGTAACCTTTTGCACAACTACAGCTGCTGTACACACACACATACACACCATTTGGTTTAGATGAGGTGCTTAGTAATCATAAGGGCTTTGCCATACCACTACCAAACCTCTAAGACCATTACAGGCAAACAAGACATGGCATTCTTTGGGTACATTGTTCCTCATGTACGTATGTAGCTTCCTCTAACAAACAATGGAGACTGTTTTCAACGAGCAGCCGTTTCCAGCTGTCATGGATAAAGCATGATGCTATTATTTCAGTGTGACTGAACAGGATCCATCCAGCTTCTCTCTGTTCTAGGCTAACTTAATTATAAAGTGTAAAAGTTATTGAGCAGTAGCTACAGAAAAGGCTTGAATCCAAAGAAAAGTGGCATACAGTGGTAGAGGATAAGAGCTGTACATACTGGGATATTCCACTATTAATTTCATTAACTCCAACATCACAATTTAATATGCCATTTTATTCAGGTAAATGACCAACACACTCTCCTGTCTCATTAAAAACAATAAAACAGTTTGAACAGCACTTTGCTTTATTTATGAAGAGAAACACATTTTGTCATTAAGACTTACATTTTGTTTGAGCCCACGGACCCAAATAGTCTATTCTTGTATATTCTGGTCTATAAAAGCAATGCTATCCAGTCAGAGTGGATTACAATACTGCAGATCATCACAACACACACAACAAAAAAACGTGCTTTATATCCCCCCCCCCTCCCCCTTTTTTTTTTTTAAAACATTGCACACACACCGGTCTACTCAAACAGGAGACTTCAGAAATGTGACCAAAGTATGTGATTTAAAATGTTTTGTGTGACTTGACCTGAGCGATACACCGTGTATATATGTAGCCGTGTTTAAATACATCTTCCTCTTCTCGTTTGTACACCAACACTTCAAATTGTAACATATGGTTGCAGGATTTTCAGGGGGTTCACAATAATTTGACCACAGCTGTTTGTGTACATGTGTGTTTGAACCAATCGTAACTCCGTGTTGACCTCACAGCTGATGCTGAACTTAAGTTGACGTTACATTGACAACATCAGAATAGTAAAACACATCACAAGTCAACACACCTCACTCCCAATAAATTCCTGTTTTTAGAAGGATGTGTACCTGAAGAGCGTTAAACGTCAAACACAAATCGGAGTAAAAACGGACAGAGTTTAACCATTCAAGTGTCAGCATGCTGCTGATGCTGCACTCTGCCTCTCGTCCAGACCATCTCTGTGATCCGCTGTTAACCGTCCGGCTGACCACAGGTCTGTGTTTGGTGTTCAGTTGCTCTCGAATTCACGTCGTGTGGAAAACAAAACCCTCTGTCCGCTGAAAATACAGAACGCATTGCACGACAACCGGCGTGTTCAATCACAACAACTTACGTGTGAGAAAGCCACCCGAGAACAACTTTGGCATATTTTATTAGGCAAAATATATTCAAAATATATTGAAATTCCCATTAAAATAGCACAACGCTGACACGTCAAATCAGAGGAAATAGATGCACTTAACCAGGGTGCACAGGTCACAACACAGAAATCATCGAAGTATTTGAACAACTGAAGTAACTGTTACATTTTACAGATCGCATTCTACACACACACACACACACACACACACACACACACACACACA